AGTCCTCCCCCGCCCAGGCTGCCTCCCCCCAGGCCGTCCTCCATGCTGAGCTGGGCCGGAGAAGGCTGCAGGGCAAACTGCGTGGGTGAGGACATGGGCACGTCGCTGAAGCTGTCGGGGAGCGAGCCGCTTAGGGACAGCTCCGAGGAGGCCGGAGAGATGGGAGGGCTGGAGGAGGTGCTGGGGTAAGGGTAGTAACCTCCCTGGGACAGGGCGCTGGAGGAGGATGGGGACTGGTAGGAGGACAGGGACCCTGTGGGTGTGACCGGGAAAGTCACAGTGGTGATGTCAGAGGAGCCGGAGGGCGAGGAGCCGGCATTAGAGTCCTTGAAGGGTCGAAGGCGCTCGATGAGGGCCGTCTTGGTGCCGGAGACGGGCATGCCGCGAATACGCAGGTGCTGCCTGAGCTCTGACACCTTACAATGCAAGAAGAAAAGAAAAAAAGTCATGTAGGCCCTCTAATATTATCTGCAGTGTCCATTTTTCTTATCTTAGTTCGACTTTGTAACACCTACTTTTAGGTCATCCAGATTAGCTGGCAGGGGCCCAGGTTTGACTGGTGAGATGTTGCTTTGGTTGGGATATGTGGTCTTGACCGGAGAGGAGGAGTTACTGTTGGCTTGGCTGGGTGGACCACTGGAGCTACAGGCTGATAGCTGCTCACTGGCTCCTCTAGAATGGCAGAATGAAATGACTTAATCACAGAAGGAAATAGCAAAAGTCAAAACATGCATCAACTTGGCACTACTTTTAATCAGACACCCTTTATAAATGGATTAAATGATTAAATAATGGCTTTATTAATGGTCCTCTAATAAGGCTTTACAGAGCAGTTGTAAGCAATTAATAAAAACAAGTTTTAGGTTGCCAGATTGGGAAAAATGCCAGAAAAATGTAACTGAAACCGTTGATAAATACTATGTATTTATTTATTCAAATGTAGTGTAAAATATAAGTGTGCAGGCACACTGTGTGGAACACTTGTGAGATCTGTTGTAAGGGCCTTTAGCAACCACTTAATAACTTTTACAATTGCAAATGACTTACTAGGTTGATAGCTTATTAGAAAGGAATCTATTAATGACCTAGTAATATCAGTAGGTTCCTAATAAGCCATCAAGTTTACAGTTATAAGTCAATAATAAAGGGTAATGGGTATAACTTTATAATAAACTAAAAATATTGCCTAATACTTATGTGGCATTAGTGAATCATTCATTAAGCATTAATAAAGCCATTTGTTTCAACTGATGAGCCCTTTATAATAGATGCCTTACTCAAAGTGTATCATAAATAAATGAAGATTTAATTCAATGACTTTTGAGTTCAAGTTCATTCTTGAGAAAAGTACTCTGATAATCTCAACTGTTAACAGGTTCCACTTTAAACTACATCTGTTGGCCTTCATCAGGAAATGCTGTTGCCTTACTTGCATGGACTTCAGCTAACTTCATTCCCTGATGAAGACCGTAAAATCACGTGGTTGATAGACCCAAGAAGAGCCAGTAAGGGGATGTTGGATGAAGATTATGATTGGTCCTCCAGTGTGACTTACTTCTGGCTTTGGCTCTGTGGGTGGGGCTGGTAGCTGAAAGCGGGCTGCCGCTGCTGAACCTGGGCCTGGGCCTGTGTCTGTGGAGTGTGTGTGTGCTGGTGCGACTGCTGCGACTGCGGATGTGTGTGAGCGTGTTTCTGCTGGCTGAGGATCTGCAGCTGCAGGAAGAGCTGCTGCTGCTGGAGGAGTCGGGCGTAGGCCGAGTCCATGGGCGGAGGGGACTTCTCTGCCTTCTGGTCTGGAGGAATGTACTGGTGGTACTTGAGCTTCTTCACCTTTGGCTTCACATCTTTGGGCTTCTTGTGTCGGTTCTTGTCTGATGTCTTGGACTGTTCAGAGGATGAGACAGTGTGAGAATGCCAGCTAATATTCTTAACTAAGCATTTGCAAAAAGTGTAAAGTGAAGGAGAAATCAAAAAATAAAAGCAAAATCAAAGAAAATTCTTAAATGTTGTTGACCTTGACAATAGCAGGAACGGGTATTGGGGGAGTAGCCTGGCTGTTGTTGGCTCCAGACAGTCCTTCATCCTGGCTTTGATCAGGTGGGTCTCGGGTTGCACCTCCCTGTCAACAAATAAAAACAACACACTGTATACAGTCCATACAGGAGTGCAGAGCTGCATTCTTACCATTTTCACTATCTTGGTTTAGTGTTTTGGAATTCACACTTATTTGATACTTAATACTGACAAACACCTTAATATAAAGTGCTACCGGTACTTCTACTTTACTCAAGTATTTTCATTTTCTGTTACTTTGTACAGTACATTTCAGAGGGAAAATATTGCACTTTTTACTTATTACATTTATCTGACTGCTTTAGACAGTAGCTATTTGGCAGATTAAGGTTTTAAATAATGAGTATTTAAAATACAATACAAAATAATAATAAATTAAACCACCTGACAGTATACAAAAGTGTACAACTAGCTTATAAGGTAATGCATACATATAACTGTAACAGTGACAGCGGCCATTCAACCTGGACAGTGTGTATTTTGACTTTTATGCATTTTGCTGATGAGACTCATGTGGTCTTACTTTTGTACAATTTTGAGTGAAAGGCCTGAATCAAACATTGTGCACATTAGTAATACATATTTCACACTTCATGTTTCATTTGGTAAACTGGTGTTTTAAGAAGAGAGTTTCACTCAAACATGTTTATCCATCGAGCTGTTTTATGCCTTGTGCCAAATGATACTCAACAATTCCATCACCGTATATAATACAAGTAACTAAAACACCAAATGATTTCCTTTATTTGGATATTTTTTAGACTGTGGTCACATGTTTTTTGCTGGTTTTGCCTTAGGTTAGATTCACCTGCCTGCAATACTCATTTCTCCTTCAGGGTTATAATGTTGAATTGAGGAGGTGTGGGGATTGCTTACAAGACAGTCAGTTTGTAATCCAAATGGAATAATTTCTCCCCAAAATGCACATGTATTGATGTTTCATTTGCAAAAGTATTCCAAAAAGCTCTAAACAGGAGTTCCCAACTGACATGAGGCAGTGAGACTTCATGATTCAGTTGGAACTGTCTAACAGGTATAAACAATCCTGTCCTGGCATGACTTTCAATCTAGTGACCGTTGCTGATGGCGACCGTTGGAATGAGGTCATCGTGAGTGAAAGGTAAGCAGTGAGGAAATGGAGGCCGCTGGCTCGGCGTGCAGGAATGTGACACCTGCCTAGTTCAACTCAGTCCAACGGACAGTGGAAAACAGAGGCTGAGGATGCAGTTCCCTCCGCCACCACAGGAGGGCAGGAGAAGCAAAGTAGAGCTCCAGCAATGTCAGAGAGACAGACAGATGGAGGAAAACAGAGCAGAGATAGAAGGCATATTTTATCTACATGCTGTTGAGAGACAGAGGTGACTCTTACCTGTCGTGGGCTGGTGAGGGCAGGTGAGGAGGAGGAGGAGGGCGTGCTGCCCACAGCCTCAGATGAAGGGCAGGCCGAGCCCTGCGACTCATCACTGTGATGCTGCTCTGGAGACAGACTTTCACTGCTGCTGTCCTCCTCAAACGCATAAGAGTCCTCCTGCTTAGGGAACTTACCATGGTTTACTGTAAGAAGAGCAGAGAGGGAGATGGGAGGAGGGTCAGTGTGCGTTACCTCCAGATCGGATCATTCCAGTCTATTACAGCTTATTTTAGTTGTTTGGCCGTCAGTTCTATGGATTTTTTAACATTGTTATTACCAAATGTACGGCTGAGATCTGGAAAAACAGTGACATTATGAAAAAGAAGTCTGATTACTAAGCAGGTTATAAGCCACATACTGCTATTGACAATAATTGTAATATTTAAAAATGAAATATTAATATTGTGTTAATAATACACATATAATAATATTGTGTAAATTATCCAGTGCCTCTTCAATCATTTCTGTTTCTTTACACTTCACACTCCAACATAGTAAGCAGGGTTATGCTCCTTAAAGCTGTGTGCTAGTGTTACAGTAGAGGGTCATTAGGTTTTTTTTTTATAGATATTGTGATAATATTGTTCATCATCAGGAATTATTTTGGCTACTAAAATCATGTGGTGAAAAACTGAAAGTGAGCATATCCACAATGTCACTAATAAGTCCTCATTGCACTGAGCACACACAACTACAACAAGTACAGTAGGTGATAATTGTGCCAGCTAGTAATTCTGCCATCTGGCCTTGTTTGTCTAACCTGTTTAAAACCAGTGGTCGTCCAACTTCTTTTTGTTGATGTCACCAGATCTCAACAATTAACTGATTGTTTGAAAATCACCAAAAACAAAACAGCTTTGTGAGTACAATCTTATCAGTAATGATGTAAATGGTGGCCGATTATAAAAGCTTGACCCAAGTTCACGGCTTGATTACCAATCAGACTTTCAGGCTTTCAGAGTTTGTAATTGCTACTCCGTCTGTTAATATTGTGTGCAACACTGAAGCACATTATAAATTGAAATGATGCTGATGATATGATACATTACCTGCATTATTACTTAATCTTAAGGCCTGCCTTGTACTGGTGCCCTGAATGGGTATCTGTATCTGTTCAACCTACTAAATGATCTGTATGTATATGGCGTGGGTGGTGCTCAAACCGGAAGTGGGTGGGACAAACCAGAAATGGATAAGGGTTGATCAGAAGTTGCTATATTTAGAAAACTATTTACAGCCTCAGAGTTAAGCTTCAGAACAATGTTTTTGATCACAAGAGAAGGAGAACAATTTATCTTGTAACTATTTATCTGTGATTTATCTCTAAATAAATGGCCTAAATTGGTTTACAGGAAGTGTTTTTGTTATATTCGCAACTACGGATATTACAGATACACACTTTACTCTGATATTCGTAAGAAGCACATTATCTGTACCAGATACTTGTTTTCTCTGTAACTGATGGGATTCAACATCTTCTGCCAAAGTTGCTTTTTTTACATGACATTCCTGTGTCTGCGTACTGGTTTGAAGTGGGTGGGGTTTAGTTGGTAAAAAGGTGATGTCACATATTTCTGTGCACCAATTAGAGTTTGGCACGTTTGAATCAGAATGTGTCGACAGAGGTGGGGCTGTTTGCTTCAGTTGCCAGGTCGCTGTCAGTCAAATCGCAGCAGGTCAAACTGCCCACAGTGTAATGAGGAGGAATTGTCCTTTAAGTGTTGACATAAGGAAGGGACAGTGGGCGTTGTGTTGTTGCAAACTGCTGCACGTTGCACACAATGTATGTTTCCTGTGTGACCAGTGGTATTCACACACTGCCTGTCTGTCACTGACACCTAGTACGACACTCAACCCGAAGGTGTTACGCCTTGTGGGTGAGAGACTGACACCGCCACTTTACATCCACTGCGCTCCTGATTGGCTAGGCTGATAGCAAACACAGCTTTAATTGGAGGAGCTAAGAGTGGCTATCTAACAGAGCTGAAGGGACAGAGCAAGGGGAGGGAGGTGGTAAAGGTTGGTGTGTGTGTGTGTGTGTGCAGAGGTATAAGATTCTCTTTTTGTATCCAAACATGTGACAGGCAGGAACAGACCCTGGTTTCAATCACAGCACCAGGCCCATTCTGTGCAACTCAATGACCTCGCAATACACACACAAACACACACACACACACACTCGCAGAGCTTAACACACAGCTTAGTGCACACAGCATTGTCCTAAATGCCATTTCCTCCCACCTGTTCGTGTTTAACTCCTTCACTCTCCGCACTCACACACGGCGACACACACTCTGAATGGGTCATGTGTGAATGTGCTGGCCCTCTCTGTCCTACATGCTGTCCAGTACACGCTGTTTCCATGAGTCTTTAAGTCAATTTGATGTCACCGGGAGATTGAGATGGCAGGATTGCAGGAAATCTGCGAGCCGCGTACACTTCCGCTTTTCAAGTGGCTGGTTTAGAAGTTACGGCAGGTCACATAGTTTCCAAAATTACCGCGCAGAGGTTGAAGCGATCGTTGGGAGTGTTGTGTAAGGGGATATGGAGCTTTAAGGTGAGGGGTTAATGCTGCAGGCGAGGGGGACGCAACAGCCTGGTCCTGTCACAGAGCTTTGTAGGTGGCTGATTGGAGCTATACAGGCCTGTTAAAGCAGAGACAAAGCAGGGAGGAGGGGAGGTGGGTACAAACATACACACAGGTACACCCACACATACACACAAGGATGCACTCAAAGTCAAATACACATCGCCACTTCTAAAGAAAAAGGGTGGACCCAAATACAGCTGCTGTTCATCTCAATAAACGGCGCTCCCTTCCTCCTGCAGAGGTAGTGTAAACCAGCTGACGGCAGCTGCCGTCTCCTTTACGCAACATGTTTACTGGAAGCTCAAGGGGGCAAACATAAAACTGCTAAAACACCAGAGTCAAAAAAACATTACTCGCGCTGCCAAGAATGATATAGAGAGAGTGAGTAACATGTTGAGCATTAGACGACAAACAGTGTGAGTACAGAGCTCCGCAGTGGGACGGCTCGGGCCTGACACTTTGCACAGCGCTAAATCAATTCAGCGTCAAAGCATGTATGTTGTCCATTTCCTTAAATCAAACACTGGAGGAGGCAGAGGTCTCTAGAGGGCTCCACATACACTTTAATCCCCAATATACATTTAGTAAAGACAGCGCCTCTTCTGAAAGAAAATCTGCCTTTTCAGTACCACAACAACATTTTTGGAGATCCACACCAGGTTCAAGAGATTTTCTGAAGTAAGCATGATGTTCTTAAATGTAAATAACATTCTCTGTGCTACAAATACAAATAAATATGCGTTCCTGTCGTGGTGGATCACATTAAGACGGAACAACAGGAAACAGTTACGGAAAGAGTCCAGGATATGTAAAGGTGGGAAAGGGAAAATTCCATATGTGTTGGTTGCACTCATCTAAAAAGTCACACTTTATAGAAGGTTTTTATGTTAATTAATGGCTAATAAAGCATTTACTAATGCTTTACAGATCAGTTATGAGGCGTAAAGTGTTAATGAGCTGTTAATAAATTAAATAAATAGTCAAGGGGTCCAACCACTTAGAGGGACAACCTGGGACCACAATAGTTCCTATTAAAGCAATATCATAAAGGTGCCTTAGAATAATGTTGTACCATTGTTTCTTATTCAACCACGGGCAAAATCAGCTTTAAGTAAAGCTTCTAATCTGAACACTAAAAGTTAAAGATGCACTTCCTGTTCCTATTGTTTGTGTCTAGTTATGCCTTTTAATATGGTGACAAGTTTCAGGACATTAGCAGTTAGCAAGGGAGAAAGGGCATTCTGGAGTTTGAGGGTTGAGGGGTTTGAGAGAGTATCAGATCTTCAGTCATTTACAGACTAAATGCAATGTCTAATTCATGCTGTTGCCACAAAGCTTTCTGTGGTGGAGAATGCTGATCAAAGATCTACAATAAACACTCCACTTGCTTGTTTGACAAAATGATGTGACTGTGTTAAAGTCCAGCAGTGCAGTCATTAAAGGACATGCTTGTTTGAGTAGATTACAACCTCTAACAGAGTGCTTTGTAGTATAGGACCTAAACAAAGGATTGTTAATACACACACACAGTCAGGAGGGAAGCGTGCTCTCCTTCTCACTGCACACAGACGTGGAGTCACGCAGGTTTGAGATGCAGCAGGTGTTAAAGGTGTGTTACACACTACACAGCAGCATCCCTCTGCTGATACCTGTCATTGTGATGGCAGAGTCTAGGGGAATGATATTCTTTTGGACCAGCTCCAGGGGCCCCGGCCTGAGAGCCAGCTTCTCGTTCAGGTCCTCGGCGAGCCGGGCTCGCCTTAGCCTCATCTGGGCCTCCAGAGAGGAGCAGTCTGAGGCCGGGTCTACACAACACATAGCAGCACCACACCATCAGCAACATTGGACACACACACCAGAGAAACACTGCTTATACAGTCTGTACATACTGCAGTATAGCAGAGTACTGTACATTTGCTCCAAATTGTATTTAAGCACAGTTTTACTTAAGCTATATATTATATAGATTTCTATTATTATATCTATCTATAAAAACAGTATACAGTATGAAGTAGTTTCCAAATGAATGAATCAGTAGAAATGTCCAAAAAGGTGATATTTAATAATATAACATTGACAGGGAGCATTCTGTGGCGTAAGAAGTACTTTTACTTTGTCACGTCAATCAATTTGAACTATCATGTAATTCGTATGAATCAATCCATAAACAGATCATGTAGCTGAACCCTAAAACTGGGCTGCAGTCATGCTGTTGTTTATAGCAATTCAATTTAAAAAGGTGCAGCATAATTTTAACTTGTGGACTGCTGCTGTTAGCTTACTAGCCACGCTAGCTTTTGCAGTCATGCTCACAACACAGCCTAATGAGGAACAACCATTTGTCGTCCGAGTAGTATTGACCAATCACGTTTGAGCAAGCTTTGGTTGCAAAAGAGGCGAAACACTTTGGCCAAAATACAATCTCGGAGCCCATTGACTATTATGTGACGACAATCAAATCCGACAATAGCATTTTATTCATTTATATGCATTTATATGCAGAAATGTGTCTTCCTGGTCATTCTCGCATATCAAATAGCTAATCAGACTTTAGAGGAAGTCTTAGCCCGGATATCAACTGGCTACACTGGAAGCCCCCAGAGGCTATACTGTTGTCAGACGGGTTCTGAGACTGCAACCCTGCCCAGCATTTAGCCAGGTAAAATTCAGTCCAAGCAGCGTCTCTGCTGCCCCACATGAAGGACAAGCTAACATTACAGGGTAGTTTGTTTTATAAAGTCCCCTGCTGGCCCCTGCTGCACGGCTTGCTGCAACAAACGCTGACAAATATAAATTCGAACAAATGATTACACGTTGAACATTTCACTTTCTTTTCAAATTACAGTAACGCTGTATTTTTTATGAAGCAGTACCATTTAAACATCAACATGCATACAGATTGTAAGTTATGAGTTACCATTTAATGTGTAAGTACCAAAAATACCTCCTAAAATCAATAGATCTTTTTTAACATCAGACTGCTAAATATTGTGTTTTTTTTCATCTCATCTTATATTTTTCCATTTCATCATCATGTTTTTCCTGCATGCAGTTAACCCTTCTGTATCCTGCTGTCATTTCCCCAACAAACACATGACTTCCCTCAGCCTTCCTTCAATAATCAATATTGCTGTTTTGGATCGGTTCTAATATCTGTTCAGCTGCTCCACTCCCAGTACCGCCAGACACTTTTGAGTACTAGAAAAATAAATGGAGTGGCTGTAATTAAAGGGCTGCAGCGGGTGAGATTTTCAGTCTTCCACACTCTCTCTTTGTTAACTCCAGTATAAATAATCAGGGCCGGAGCTAACCTGGCTTGGCCTACAATCTCTCCACAGGACTGATTACCCGGCAGTGAGGAGAGCACACCACATCAGTTTGATTATCTGAGACCGAGAGCGAGAATGAGCAACAGCACTTATTTGGTCAAATATAATTTCAGTGGGATATGTCTGAGGGCTGACACAGGATACAGCGCCAAAATAAAATGAATGATATTGTGCTGGACAACTCAGGTAGAGTATTACTGTCTGATGAAGAATGGGCCTGAAATGTAATATTTTAAAACTTTAAAAATTAAGTTTATATTAATGTGCAATATTACACATTTTTAATCTCCTGGTATCAAATATTTGGCTTATTCTTTCAAATTAGACTTCTATAATCCTATAAACTTAGAGGATGGATGCAAGAAAATACAGATAGAATATTTAGGTGGAAGATAAACATGAAAGAAAAAATGAAGGAAGGAAAAACAGACTGATGAAAGAAGAAGAAAATAAAAAAGAGAGAAAAAAGATTTATTAGAAAATTCAAAACTAGTTGTATGAGTGTGAACTTGTGACGTGTGCCGATCCTCAAACACATAGATGGATGGTAGGAATGAAGGAAGAATTTTAAGGAGGTAGACATGAGTAACTAAATAAAATGGAGGGACAAATAAAACGAAAGAAGGAATGAATTAAAGTTGAAATGAAGGTTGATATAAGAATGGAAGGAGTAAAGAAAGAAATAGTTGGTACAAAGAATGACAGAATTAAGGTAAGTATACGAATATTGTTGGAAAAAGGAAAAGTGAAAGGAACAAAACAATAAAACAAGGGAAGAAAAGGGATAAAGAGATGTAACAAGGCAGTGAATGCCACACACAGAGGCCAGTGGGTAAAGCACATGGCCAGCCTGGATCCAGTCCCCTTCCTCAGAGGGGAAGTGGGCGAGCTGCAGGTCCGTGGTCACATTGGCGAGCCGTCGCCGTCCCCCAGCAGGGTGACATCATCATCTGTTTATAACTCAGCTGCCCAAAGAGTCTCCTGCCTCACCTGTCACCGACTGGCCTGATTTAAGAACTGATTTGACATCACAGGGACACATGGAGCTTTAAGTGTGTTTAACCAAACTGCCTAAAAAACGTGTTTGAGCGTGGCTGCGTTGCACCCGCTCAGCCGTAATGTAACCTGATCCGGTGAGTCTGAGGCTGGCTTACAGACTTTTAAACATTCTGCAGCAGTATTAAAACACACGACGCACTTTAAACCTATTGCAATACATATACCTGCTGACTGTATCTGTCAAATGTAAACACTACAGTAAGAGGTAAGACGTATGGTGCATTAGGCGGGAATAATTCCCTTTGTGTTTCCATCCACGGAGGATTAAAGCACCGCTGCTGAAGGAATGAAGATGGGGTGTTTTTATGCAGGAAAAAGCACAGTAAACCTGCAGCTACAGCCCTATTATCTTTATGAGGAAATATTAGATTGTATGTGTGTGTGTGTGTGTGTGTGTGTGTGTGTGTGTATTCAGACCTGTGGCCAGCAGTCAGACAGTGTGCTCCTATGCAGGCCACACGCCAGTCAGGCCTGAGAGGCTGGGGCGGATTCTTGAATAGCCTAATAAACACCAGATGTTCCCTGGGTAATATATACACAGACCCTGTGCCGTGTCCATCTCCCCAGCAGGAATAACACAGCCAGGCAGAGCCAGCCAGCATCTGAAGGATCACATCGACAGCGGCACAGAGGAGACGTCTGTGCCGCCCCGAAAAATTACAACTTTTTGACATAAAGAGCTGTGAGGGCAAAAGACGCTGATGCCAGTTTTAAGGGTGTGAGAAAGTGTGTACTAACAAATCTTTGCAACCCTCTTCCATCTGCGCCACCGCCTGCAATCAAGAGATAAACAGCCAATTGAAATTTCTTTTTTAAAAAAGCGCTTGGAGCCCCCGCTGGCCAATTGTGTTTCTCCTTGCTGCCTTATCTGTGACAGACTCCTAGAAACTGATAGGGCCTCGCCGGGCCTCTGGATTCCGTTCCCCCGCACACTTACCAGCAGTTTATCTGGAGGCTGGAGCCTCTGTGAAATGGCAAATGGTGCCAGAGATATCATTCAACAAATCCCTGGCCTGCAGTCCCAGTCCCCCCCAAGTCCCCTTGCTGTTTCTGCAGGCAAGTAAGTGAAAGAAGAAAAACGCTTCGGCACACTGGCATCGCTCACTGCTCCTATGTTTGCCAAGACGACACAGTGTTGCAGTATGAGGAATTGATAAGATCTTAGTTTATAAGTGGCTGTGTAACGTCTCATGCTGACCAAACGTTTGGTTCCTCATGAATATTTAAAAGTGTCGTCAATGCCAACAAAAATATTTATCGACGCATGACGTTTGTGGCATATAGAGGCTGAAGGAGATAGCTGCAAACATTACAGTGCTGCCATGACCTACAGAACATGAGAGGCCATTAATCGTAGCTACAGTGAAGATTTAAGAGCACGCTCAGTACACTCTCGGTCTACTTGTTCTCATCACTATGTCTTGACATTAAAAGCACAAAATCTTATAAATGGCAGCTCACACTCCATGTAGTTGTGTTTGGGGGTGCCTCTGCTTTGATGTGGCGTTTGCAGGCGCTGTGCTGTAAACAGGTACCGTGTACGTAAATCTAGCTGAGCGGTTGCTGATTCTTCTGAGGCAGAGAGCCTCTTCCAGCACGAGAGCATTCCTCGGCGGTCACTCAGCGACCTGTCTGCCTACTCGCTGGCTGCACGCGCTATCTGCCTGTCTCCCTGCCTGTCGGGTGGATATATCCACCTGCTTCCTCTACTATACGTCCACCTCTGCTTCTGTCACTACCTGTGGATTTATCCGTCTCTGGAGTCAGGATCTGCTTCTCTTTAGAGCATCTGTCATCTTAACTGTTTTCTTTTCTTCCTTACCTGTTTCTCTCTGTCCGTGTCTAATGCTTTAATCTGCGGCCTTTTGTCTTTTGTTCTTGATTTTTATGGTGAGGAAAGTGAATCAGTCAGAAGAACTGTAAAAACTAGCAAGAGTCTGCAGGTTTCCACTGCAAGCACTTTGATCCCAAAACATAACTAGAGGAGCTGATTTCACTGATTAGTTCCCTCTTTCTTGGTTGAAGTTCATCAGTGAAATCATCTGCTGATTCCCGAGCTACACTATTCCTGTCTCCATCCTTCTTTCTCTCTCTTTCCTCTTTTGTTCTTTTACGAGCGGCTGGCAGCATCAGATTGTACTGTTTCAATTCAAAACTGTGATAGATAATCATAAATCAGTCATAACTTTTTTTCTTTTTACATATCAGGCAATATGTCAGACTCAATGATCAGATTCATGTGAAACTCAGGGAAATGATGCTTCTTAAATGCGTTCCAAAACTTTCTAAATAATACTGATTGAGCCAAAGGGACCTACAATTAAAGGGCACATATGAAAAGGCAGTAACTGCTCGGATTTCCCACACTGGACTAGATGTTTGAACCTTTACATCCACGTTGCTCTCCAAAACTGTCAACAAATAATATTGTACTAAATTACTTAAAAAATCTGTTCTTCATTTGTCCGCTTAATAGCTGAAGGGCTTACTGCATCATTTGTGTATTTAAAGCTGGACTAATCATTAACAACAGAACAAATGACAAAAGATTTCCCCTCAGAGTTTTAGCATCTTTCAGCTCATTGTTTTGGTTTTTAGGGCCAGTAACATTACTGCTTTGGTTCACTCTCTTGGCTCTCATCAGCCAGTAGCTGTATTTAGTGAATAAGCTATGATAAACCCACTGTACATGACCTGTCCAGCACCAAACAGCAGACAAAACACAGTTAGTGACTAGCTGGTGAACATGCAGTATTTAGCAGCTAAAGAGCCAGATATTTTTCTCAGTAGTTGGTGGAGATCATAAACAGAGCCTAAGGCCAGTGAATATTTGACTTTGGATGTGGCCAAAAAAACCCAACTCCAAATGAATTCTAATGTTTCCATGTTACTGCTGAATGTGTAGGCAATGATTGCTAACATATTAGCCATATCATCTTTATAAAGTGATAAAATTGTCAGTGTTGTGTTGCTTGTGCTGCTGCCCCCAAGAGGTAAAAATAAATAAATACTGCCTTAACCAATGCCAAAATTCTAGCACTGAAATGCAATGATCCCCATAATGCATTTACATTTTCACATGACACACTTTGAAGTGTCAAATCAGCCTCATTGTGAAAATAACATATTTTCTCTCGTATCCCTTGTATTTGGTATCTAACCATGAAAGCAGTTTTTGAGATATCCATCTCTGATATTTCTACCTCCACCACAATACAAAGTGGTCTCAAAACAACATCCTTATTACTCTGGATAATAACAGTTTCTGTAGGGACTATTTCTCCAGTAAAAGTAGTTCCAGTGAAAACTGTTCTGTGGCTTATCCAGAGTAACGGTCATTGTTTCTGAAAAGACAGGTTGGATTTTTTAATGTAATTTTCTCAATGCTGTGAGGCCCACGGTCAAAGATTGGTTTACCTTCATTGCATCGAGGTTGTGGCAGAAATCTCAAAACCTGGACAAATAAAACTAAAACTATCTGCATGGCCAGCTATCACAATAGTTGAGGTTTATTTGTACCTTCATATCGTATAACTTCCTGGACAAAACCTTGTTCATTGTATTTCTCAACATTTCTCTCTTCCTGTCTTACTCACACTATAGTGCAAAAGCATGTGTGGAAGTGTGTGTGTGTGTGTGTGTGTGTGTGTGTGTGTGCGCCTGCATGTGCAGCAGCTCAGTGATGGAAGGCGTTACTCACGAGGCATGATGCCTTGGTCTGCCAGCTGCTCTCGTGTCCTCCTCTGCTGAAGTCTTAACTGTAGGACTGAAGTTGGAGGGAGGAGGAGGAGGAGGAGGAGGAGGAGGAGGGGAAGATGGATGGAGGGGAAGAAAAGATGAGACAGAGATGTGGAAAGACAGGTAAGGGACAGAAAAAAAAGCAGGAAGAGACTGAGAATTCAACCCACTTTAAATGTTTTCATAATTCTAAATTGTAGTCTGATTGAGAATAATTTCCTTTCACCTATAGGCTGAAATAAAAGCTACTGATGTCATATATACATGTATGTATGCATCTATATGCATACAGAAAACACAGAAAAAAACAACGCTGCTTGCTCACAAATATTTTTGTGAGCAGGATGTAGGGAATGATAAACACAGCTCCTGGCTTTTAAACAGATCTGCTAGGCAGTGTGTGGTCCGCAGCGTATGCACATGTTTTTGCATGCTGTGTGTGTGTGTGTGTGTGTGTGTGTGTGTAGAAGTGGTCTAGGTGGGAGTGTAGGGTCATAAACATAGAGCCTCCCCCATGTCTGTTGGTCTGCTTGTGTCTGTGGCTCTTTTGCTTTCCTTTTCTTTGTCTGTGTGTCTTTGCGTGTATATCCTCCTCGCTGTTATCTGTAAGTCTCTGTGAGACCCTGGATCTGACACACCAGTATGAAATGTTCCTCCTTTTCTGCAAGTCCCTAATCACTTTGCACTTAAAGATCTCCTTCAGGTGGTTCATGTTTGCGCAAATGTGGCTGCATTTAAGCATTTTATGAATTTCCTCAAAACTCTCAGCTTTGATGTGATGACTTTTCTAACAGTTTGACTGAATATCAGCGAGCTTGGGTGCCACATCATAGGGCTCTTTTGGGAGAGCACCTCCATTATGTAACACCAGGCCTTTCCCTTCATCTCACATCTGCTTTAGTTTACAGTAAGGGGGTCGTGACCTGCTGGTCGCAACATCACAGAGAGCCAACGCTGACTGAAAGCTGACCAAAACATGTAACTGATACAGCCTTTGACAAGGGAAGTTTTGTGTCATCCCCTACAATAATAAGCACCCATCCATGTATACAGGCAGGTTTAGTCTCTTCTGTCATGGAAAAAGCAAGGTGACAATGGAATGTAACTGTTAGTGTTAGTTAATTCTGCGGACCGTCTTTGATTTCAACTCAAGTGGCTGCTCCTCACTGCTCTGTATTGTGTTTACTGAAAGGTTATGAATAATTCTCTCAGAAAAAGCACAGCAGCCACTAGATAATCTGTTCATTCTCTTAAAAAGCTTCTCTGTTTGGTTGTTACAGCTTTGTTGTTGTTAGGGCAGACTAAAAACAGAAGTTATTACATCATTTGTTCCATTTGTATGTGTGTTATTGTGTGTTTGATTAATAATAATAATTAAAAAAAAAAATAATAATTTGTTCCATTTAATTCTAACACAGCCAAATCCTGAACTAAGTTGTAGTCAGTCATGTGCTGTGCTTCTAACAAGCTAATGTGACAAGCTCACGTTACAGTACAGCCTTAATGTTTGGATGCAAGCAAACCAATGTGACAAGCTAATGTTACGGTAAGGCAACTGCTAACTGCCTTTTGTCTCTTCTGTCATGGAAAAAGCAATGTGACAAACTGAATGTAACTGTTTGCTAATTCTCCAGAGCCTCTTTGATTTTAACTCCAGGGACGGCTCTTTGCTGCTCTGTGTTTACTGAAAGGTTATCAATAATTATTTCTCAAAAAGCCCAGCAGCTGCCATAAAATCTGCTCTTATTCTTAAAAAAGCTTCTCTGTTTCATTGTTACAACTTTGTTGCTAGGGTAGAGACTTAAAAAAACAAAAAACAAGTTTGAACAAATTTGCACCAGTAAATAAAGTTTTGCTCAGTTGAATTCTAACACAACCTACCTAACAAAATCCAAAAGTATGTTGTAGGACTGGTGTACCAATAATTTGTGGTGCCTCTAAAAAACTAATGTGACAAGCCAACACTGCAGTAAAACAGCTGCTATCATGCTTAATTTGGTCCATACATGCAGGTTTAGTCTCTTGTGTCATGGAAAAAGCAAGGTGACAATGGAATGTAACTGTTAGGGTTAGTTCATTCTGCGGACTGTGTTTGATTTTAAGTCAAGGGACAGCTATTCTGCGTTATGTTTACTGAAAGGGTTATCAATAATTCTCTCTGAAAAAGAACAGCAACTCCTCCATAATCTGCTCTTTCTTTTAAAACGTTTCTCAGTTTTATCTCACTTTTAAAACAAAGTTTGGTCAAATTTGCATTAAGGCATAATTTTTTGTTACATTCAATTCTAACACAACCCACATAGTCAAATCCTAAAATATGCTGTAGACAGTTTGTTCCGTTCATTTGCCATCAAGATAATGCATGTGATAAGCTAACGTTATGGTAAAACAGCTGCTAACATGCTTCATTTTGTCCATACATGCAGGTTTTGACTCTTCTGTCATGAAAAAAGGAGGGTGACAAATTGAATGTAGCTGTTATTGTTTGCTAATTCTGGAGTGCTTCTTTGATTTTAACTCCAGGGACGGCTCTTTGCTGCTCTATGTTTACTGAAAGGTTATCAATAATGCTGCCTGAAAAAGCACAGCAGCTGCCACATAATCTGCTCTTTCTCATAAAAAGGTTCGCTCAGACCAGAGGGTTGTCTGTCCTGATTGCAGAGTGTACATGTTATAGAAAGAGGACCCGAGCCAGGCTGTGTAATCACGGATCACTGAACCATACGATACTCTGCCTCTCTCACTGTTGACTTTGAAACTGAAGACATTTGTTTTAACTTAGGCTTTCTTGACAACAAAGGACATACAAATCCACAGCCACATTTACAAGTTTTCAGATTTATAGTGTAAATAAATTATCATTTGGCCTGGTTTGCACTGGTGAAGTGGTGATAATTACACAAGCCAGTGTAGTGATATTCTGATTTATTGTCCTCCTGTGCCTCACACATTCACAGCCACCAAACAGGCTAATAATAACACCACACTTTTACACCTAAACTCTAACATCTTAGCAAACGACACTGGCTGCATTTGTTACATGAATTCTCCTGAACTTTCCCTCAGCACAAGCAGGAATGTGTTCGCGACAGATGTATGAGCACAACTGTATAACTTCTAATAAACAGGTATCCCTAAATGAAGTATTAGGTTTATTTTAGTCTAATACCTCTGCATAAAGTGAAAATCCACCTTAAAACAGAACTCACATATTTTATTCCTATGGTCTTGGACATTTAGAGCCAGATTTGTGAACGTGAGCCAGAGACAGATGCAAGAGAGCCAACACTCCACCATTAAGATACAGTTTCTGGAGCAGCTCCATTGACAGTGACTTATAGTCAACAGTGGGATAGTAGGGTGATGCAGAAAAAAAACTCACTTGAGCGCACGAGCCAACCCATTCCACAGGTAAGTGCTTTTTTATCTGTTGCCAGAATGCCATTCATTGTCAGTGGAGGGTGTCTAGGTTTTGTCTTTCATATTACTTATTCTAAGTTTTGTCAGAAATATTAGCAAGGATACACAATCTGCCAGGATGACTGGAGTAATATTTGATGAAGGTAAATTAATATGAAAACTGATAACAGTTAACACTGTTTAAATTTGTATGAACAAATTCGAGCTAACATAATTCATTGTAATTAATTAACACAACTCTCTAGCCTAGTTCTAGTCCAAAAGTTTGTTGTGAGTTGACGTTCTGTTCCTCACTTGAGTGACAAGCTAACGTTACGGAATTTTTTCCCTCTACAGTTTCCAGTTCAAAATGTTTTCTCATACATATTTCTCAGATGATTTGGTGTCATGATTATCTGTTTAGCACCACGCTAGTCTCCTATTTTACATTAGCTTATAGGACAACAATTGCTTAGTTTACGGTCTGCTGCGCTCCAGAAAAGTAGTTCTTGGACGAATCAATTGTATAAAAAATACCAAAATATTTTTCATATTTTTCCATTTAGTAGTTAGATCTTCTCAGTAACATCCAGCATCATCATGTAATGTAATAAATTCTTAATTGGGTATGGAGTCTGATAAAAAACAGGTGTTTCCGAAGACGGTACCTGTGTGTGGTACTGATTTACTATTCAACATATGGTTGACACCTTGTAGTATTGATATAACATATATTTGACGCCTTTGTCATACTATTATGTAACGGCAGTGAGCTCGAGAGCACAGGTCACAGCTCCTTGAGCTGTTAATCAAATCGGCATGAGAACTAGTCAGGGACATACACACTCACAAAACATTCGGCAGTCCACAGGGAGCACTTAAATGAGATCTTTATCTTTCCTTTTAGCTTCAACCATGCAGCAGCAGTTCCCATGGCTTTGATAATGTAGTTTCAAGCGTGGCGCAAAAGGAACAACATTTGCTGGTTTTCATGGGGTGCAGAATGTAAGTCGAGCTGCTGCAGCTTAAAGAAAACTGTAAATCCTGCACAACCTGATTGTCTAAGACTCCCCCTGTCATCAGCGGTTATCACCGAGAGAATTACGGGCAGTTTTACTTCTCTTACGCTTAATATTTCACTCATGCACTCATAAATTCACTCGACCAGTCATGTCGGTTGTCCGTTGTATCACCCAACATTAATCCCTCCAACTGTAACATCAAGCAGACTTGTTGGAAGATAACTTTTATTGCAATAAAGACAATCTCTACATCTGTGCCATATTAACCAGCTAGAGCATGTGGGTTAGAACAACACAGAACCTGAGCCACCTTGGTGAAAAGCCTCCTGCCGCTTTTGAACACAGCCATCCACCCTCTCATGTTCCCCGGAGCACTGGGGGTCATTTCCCACCCTGCCGATCTGCTCTAAACAACTCAGAGGAAAAGCCTCATTTAGCCTGCCATTTCTGGAACGCAATTACAGCTCACAGACAAACTCCAAGTAAGGGTTGAAGCCAGCAGTACAGCAGTGTGAAGTGTTGCTTTCAGAGGCGATCATGTATACCATAACTTTACAGACTAGAGAGCAGGATTGGAGCGATGTTGTTGCCACCATCAGTTACATTTTCCTCAGGGAGGTGGCAGTGTTGGTCAGACTACACACACTGTAGTGGTACAGCGCACATACACACACACACA